ACTCCCCTGGCCCACCCGTCTACAAAATAATACCAATATGTCGGCCCACCCATCTACAAAATAATCTTAATTTGTCGGCCCAACCATCTAATATGATATATATCTGGGCCCACCCATCTATGTGATAACAAGCACCCTTGACATACCCGGCTATTTGATACACATCTACCTTGGTAAACCCATCTACATAATATCCAACTACCTCGGCCCATCTGTCTATTGAATATTCATGTCCATCGGCCCACTCATCTACTCTACATATTCCCTACATGGGCCCACCCATCTCCATCAGGAATAATAACACTCCCGGCCCATCCATCATAGTCGAGGATATATCTACCTTCGGCCCATGGTCCGCTGGCCCGTATCATACAGGATATTATGCACGATCTCACACCTCTTGCCTATGACGAGCAATCATTCTAGCTATAAAAATGTCACCACAACATGAAATTCATTCTAACCTCACATAAATGGACTAGATGGTGGTGTGTGCATGCCCATATTTTTTTCTGATTTGTCTGGGCATTGTATGGTCCGAAAATTGTATATGATCATCAGGCAGCATATAAAGGCTCTTTGACTGTAATTTGTCTTTTATCAACATTTCCTTGTCGCTTCAGCATTTCAATTGTATGTATGCTATTCCTTGTGATATTCTGCATCTTCTAATACACTCAATTCATTTATTTAGATGTCCCATTATGTTTCAGATGTCCATGACACTTTGTACAGTGCTCCACCTCACTTTGTGACACATCATGAGATTGATGAAGCACACCGTCAACAGGAAGCCTACAACAAGTTGCATCAGATGTAAGTTTGTCTTGCTAACAATGTACTGGTAGCTGATATCGTGTTTGACAGTCTAATAGACAAACTCTCTGACGAGGATGGTATGCCTCCTCTAATTGATGCATTCACCCCTCTGGCTTCCCCATCACCTTCAACAATACCATCTGATGGACCCACAGATGGCGAGATGTGCCGTGCCACGATCTACAACATGGACGAGGCTGGCAGCCATTTTGAAACACCCCATGCCCACCAACACAGTGTAAAGACTGATGACTATGAAGCTGCGAGGAGTACAGGTAATGATGCACAGGAGGACAAGTAGTTTGTGAGCTATGTACTTGTGATCACTGATTAGTCTCTTCATCAACCCATTACAATCGTCAGTACAGAGTTTGTTCATTTATGATTTGCTCGTACTATGCCATAATACAATGTTTGGGGTTGTGTAAATGTTGTAACTCGCACACCAACTTTTGCATTCAACCCAGTGCCATGTCTCCACAGAATACCAAACAAACACTGCAGGCTGCTCTTACAGCTGTCCTTGCAGCGGGTATTAATGAAAAAGGTCTGCCAAACTACAGCTTGCGTTCGGCAGCCCTGGATTACAAAGTTTCCCACACCACACTCACAGCATGGTACAATGGCTGACAAACGAGGTTCAAGGCTCACGCAAAAGAACAGAAGCTTACTCCATCCCAAGAGAATGCTTTGAAAGAATGGATCAAAGCATTGGGACGTCGAGGGCTGCCTATGTCACTTCACTTAGTGGCAGAACAAGCTTCAGTCATTCTTTGTGGAAATCCTTTGTCAGAGCATTGGGCACATCACTTCCGAACTCGCCACCCTGACTTACAGTCGCGTTGGGCAAGTGGACTTGAATGTTGTCATGCGAAGGCATTGAACCACCCACAAGTCACGGAGTACTTCAATATCCTTGTCAAGCTCATAACAAAGTACGATATCATCCCCAGTAACATCTACAACATGGATGAGAAGGGCATGCAGCTTGGAATTGGAAAACGAACCCTCGTTCTTGTTGACTGTGATCAAAAAACTATCCAACACCTTGAAAATGGTGACCGCGAACTTGTGACCATCATTGAAACAGTCTGCGTGGATGGCAGTTCAGTACCCCCATCAGTCATATTCAAAGCACTGCGTCGTAATCTCGCATGGTCACGAAACAATCCTGACCAAGCAAGGTATGTTTAAATAGAGCTCAACTCGTGCCAATGTCTGACTGGTTAGCAGTATATCAGTTCCTCCGAATGGGTGGACCAACAACAAGCTTGGACTCAAGTGGTTGCAGAATGACTTTGAACCTGCGAGTGCAGCTCGTAATCCATCAAGTGGCTGGAGGCTGCTCATCCTCGATGGCCACAACTCGCACTGCACATTCAAGTTTGTCAAGTTTTATCATGATCACCACATTGTCCTGCTTTGCTTGCCATCGCACATGACACACCGTCTTCAGCCTTGTGATGTTGGTGTTTTCGGGCCATTGGCATCGAGCTGGAAGTCAGAGGTGAACAAGGCGAGCGAAGCAGGCATTAGCATTATGAAGGGCAATTTTCTTGAATTCTACCACAAAGCTCGCCAGCGAGCATTCACTCCGTCCACTATTCAGGCAGCATTCCACAAGACAGGCATCCATCCTCTGGACCCTAATATCATTGAAGATGCTGCATATGCCCCTGCACTTAATACTACAACACAGTCAGCACAACCTGTGCCAGCCATGCTACCCACACTCTTGGAGGTTGCAGCTGAGACAGACTCAGACCATGTTTCTGATTCCAACAAGGCTACAAGTGAAGCTCCGATGTCGTTAGCAACAGCCGAAACATTGCATAATGAACCTACCAGCACAACACAAACTCTCATCAGTAGTATTCCACCTAGCAACAGCAGTCATATCACCTTGTTGACTTTCCACCCATTTTACCCCGGAATGCATCTCGGAAAGCTTATATAGTTGGCTACCATGCCCTCCGTGATTGGGCAGAGAAGGCAAAACAGCAGATGGAGGCCGACTATGCCATGAAGAAGTTGATGGAAGCCAAAAACGGACGGTTGCAACGGCAGTTGTTTGGGCAGAAGCAGAACAGCCCACAGAGGGAAGGTGGCTCAGGCTCTTGCCACATGACCTGTAATGATATGCTCGATGCCCTTGCAAAAGCCGACTGGACCGCGAACATCAAGGTTGTTCACACCGAGGCTGCGAAAAAGTTCAGAGGAATTCGGCAGGTAATACGAGATCACAAAAAGGCTGAAGAAGACCTATGACAGAGAGAGGAATGCGACCAACATGCAGCTGCAAAGGAGGCAGCAAAAGCTGTCAAAACTGTGATGACACTTGCTGCAAAGCGCATCGCAGATGCTCAAAAAGCAGCTAAGTGCGAGCTGGTGTTGGCTTGCAAGGCTGAAGAAGCAGCTGCAAAGAAAGCTGCAGTCGAGGCAAAGTGTTCTGCAGCAGCAGCCAAGCAAGCAGATGCAGAGGAGAAGAAACGTGTTGCACACAAGCGCAAAATTGCAGCACGAGCACAAAATTGCAGTGCAAGCGGAGAAAGAACGCAAGCAGCTGGAGAAGGCATCAAAAACCATTCGTTAACAACCTGTGGAAAGTGAAAATGAAGATTCACTTAATCACGGCTCAGAAAATCTCAACCTCGTCGATGATAACACCCTCGAACCTCTTCAGCCCTCAAATATCCGACCTCGCCCTCGTCCTTGACCCATCCTGCACCGAGTGAACAACCCATTGCCTGATTTGCACCTCCATGTTGTCCAGGTCCAGAGTCCCACCAATGTTCAGAAAAGTGTCCTTGATGGTGAGGATGATGCTCATGCTGCAGCTGTAGCCAATGCGGACTCTGTGATTGTTGATAAAGGGCAGCCTGTGCGACGGAGCACTCGTCAACGCGCAAAACCTTGATTGCTGGCAGGTACCGGAGATTGCCGGCGGCTGACTCACTACACTGGTTTTGACCAAAACTGAGACCCTCTGGCAAAATATTCATAGACCCTCACAGCACTTCTCTAAAATTCTAACAATACATGATTATGATAGCCAGAATTGTTTTCTCTCATTCTATGTACTTTTTCCATCACAATACTCCATCCTTGTACTCGAAATCATAAATTAAGGCTAAGTGACCCTGTTTCCTATTTAAGCACAGTATTGTGGTGTGGTGGTGAAGCTGCAGTGAGGTGAGGAGGGTGTGAGAATAATTGATATTGTGGAGATTCCCAAAATGGGCGATGTTTTTGGTGTTGTGGGGTAATTCCCACACTGTGTGGCTGAAAAGTGCGAACATGTGATATGTGGGAATAATGTGGGGAGACCAAAATGGGATTTGATGGTCTGGGACAGGCACAAAAACTCACAGTTTGTGGAGAAGGGATCTAAGATTGATAATATTAATATTCAATGGTCTGGGCCAGGCACACAAAATAGCGGTGTACAGAGAAGGGATCTAAAATCACTAATATATACCTAAAAGAACTGTCCAAAGGAACTCACTATGGCTCCCAGGGGTTGTATGCATACAGGCTTGGGAAGCCCTAGGCAGGCTCCCCAGGTGTGTATGCATACAAGGAAGCCTTGGAGGTAGCATGTGGGTATGAATACATAGCTTTCTACAATGGCCAGGGGTGTATTGATACTCCTGCCAGGGTGTGGTGTTAGGGTCTAACTAGAACTCATTTGGCAGAACTTCATGGCAATGTAGGAAGAACTCATCTCATGGAACATATAATTGACTAACCGCATGGATACGCAGCTCTCAAACCAAGAAATCATGCTCCTGCCGGCGCATATTCAGCGCCCAGACATGCATTTGAATGCATTTATGGTGCGCATCACTTAGTGACCACTACTTTTGTACAGTGGCCAAATTGGTTGGTCGAGCGCTGATAACCCTAACCCTAGCAGTAAGGTACCTCCTAGTGATGTCAAAAAAACTTCATGAGACCAAAGCCTTTGATATATTAATTTGAGACACTTCAAACTAAGCTAGAATATGCATGTTTTTGTGTGACGAAAGACTCCTCTGAACTCCGTCAAAGTCTGAACCCTCAGTGACTGACAATGGTGAAGAAATACCAGAAGTCCAAAGCCTCTCATGCCCGCATTGCTCGGTGGACCACTAACACCCACATTTCACTGCCTTCTCGAGCTCCGAGTGTTGCTGATGCAGCCGAAAATGACGATGAATTTATGGACTCCCAATCTGACTGTGGCTACACTGGTGGTGTCAATGTGGAGGTCTTATCCAGTGATTCAGAGAGCGAGTGGTCGGATGGTGAGAGCCTCTGTGAGCTTGAAGGAGATGGGTTGGAGGAAAATCTGGCTGCCCTCAAAGCCGAGGTTGATGCGCTTCAGCAGCCTGCTGGTTTCAAGTTTGAGAAGATCATGGAGGAAAAGACCACTACAGAGTGGAAGAAAGCTGAGCAGATCAGGGCACTTGGATACAACGGGCACTCGGATAGGACGAAACGAAGGTACAACAAGATCGCAAGAGATCTTGCTGACTACCGAGAAAAAAGACAAACTTCGTGAGTGCCAGTGTAACTTTAGTATATCAGAATAATACTCACCAGACATCCTGCAGAGATGATCCACAAGTCTTGCTGATGCGGAACATGTTTGTTCACCCAAACAGCAGTGCACCCACCATCCAACAACACTCCCCAGGCCTGGCGTCACATGGTGCAGCGGCTGAACTGCGCAGCCACCAGCTTCGTTACCTCTCTGACGACTCTGACTCAGAGTCGGAACCACCAGCAGACAACTCTGAATCTGAAGATAGCGACAGTGAGATCACTGCTCCAGCAACCAGCAGTACTCGATTACCAGCTGTGCCAGCCTTGAAGCGACGCAGGGTTGACGTGCTGCACTGTGAGCAGAGGAGGATGAAGCAGGAGAAGTACCTCGAAGAGCTCAAGGGAGCACTCGCGGCAATCGAAAAGCATTTGAAGTCGAAGAAGACGGCTTTCATTGGAGGTCTGAATGGGTTGCAAGCCAAACGTGCCCGTTCGATCCAGAGTTACCTGATGATGGTTGTCAAGAAGGGACGTTTATCAATTGACGCCTCAAAACGAGCTGCAGAAAGCCATGGATTTGCTGCGGAATGGGGAGGCCGTCAGGTGCGCCGCTGGACCAGGTTATGGGTGTCAGAGCACAAGCTCCCAGAGTCCTTGCAGGGCCGTCATGCCAAGGTGTACTCACTCCTGAGTGATCCTGCAATCGCTGCAGAGCTGCGTGCATACATTCGGTCAAATAAATGGGCCATGAACCCTGACAAGCTTGTTCAGTTCTCCCAAAACAAACTGATACCTGCCGAAGCAGATAAATACCTCAAGCATGTTGTCGATGAAGAAATGCCATGTGGCCTCAAGCGATACATGGAGCTCGAGATCTTTCCCTGTATTCACCTGAAGGTCAGCCATGGCATCTCACTGAATACTGCACGTCGGTGGCTGCACTGCGAAGGATTTCGATACCTCAAGCATCGCAAAGGTCTTTATTTTGACGGGCACGACCGACCTGATGTTCTGCACTACCGTCAAAGTCATTTCATACCCACAATGAAAAGCTACAAACATAGATTTGTTTGGTATGTTGTCGGGGATGTTGACACCGAAGTTGTTGCCAAACCACGGAATTTTGTTGAATGTCGACTTGTGCTTTGTGCCCACGATGAGATGACGGCACAGGCAAATGATGCGGTGGATCAATACTGGGTATTTGAGGATGAATTTCGACTGCGTAAGAAGGGAGCGGGTCGTGGTCTTCATCGCAGTGATGTCATTTGTTCAACCATCGGCCACTTGGTTGAAGCAGGGGAGTCGTTGGAATATGGAAAGAACTATGATGGTTATTGGCGTGGCGAACACTTCTGCAATCAGGTTCGTACTTTGTAATGATTGTGACTCAGAACTGACACACCATGCAGCTCAAAGATAAAATCATCCCTGCATTTGAGCAGGCTCACGGCCCAGGCTACCAAGCATTGTTCCTCATCGACAACTCACAGGGACATGCTGTATACTCTGAAAATGCTCTCCTTGTCAGCCGCATGAATGTCAACCCGGGTGGGAAACAGGCGCACATGCGAAATGGCTGGTTCATTCATGATGGCATTCGCATTGAGCAGGAAATGATGTTCCCAACCAATCATCCTGAGCACCCTGGAGAGCCAAAGGGCATAAAAACCATCCTCACAGAACGTGGCCTATATCAACCTTCCCTTCGCAGCAAGTGCAAGGGAAAATGCGAATCCGATGCCACTGATTGCTGCAACAAGTGTATACTGGAGCTGCAGTCTGACTTCAAAGAGCAGAAGTCACTCGTGCAAGAAATTATTGAAAGGGCAGGTCACCTCTGCATATTCCTTCCAAAGTTCCACTGCGAGCTTAATTTCATCGAGTTCTTCTGGGGACGGGTCAAGAAGTACCTTCGAGATCACTGCGACTGTACTTTCGAGACGCTGAAAGATAGTATGCCACGAGCCCTGGCATCTGTCGAGTTGCAGAGTATCCGTCTGTGGGAACATCGGACACACAGGTGGATAGAAGCTTATCAGTTGGGGCTTGGGATAAAAGATGCTCAGCTTAAGGTTCGGCAGTTCAGTTCAATGAAATACAAGTCCCACAGACGTGTTCCAGAAACAGTAGCGCAGCTCTTCGACTAATTATAGGCAAGATAGTTGAGTAGTGGCCAATCTGACCCCGCTCAGAAAATTTCTCACACTCAGATTTGCTCCAATAAAAAATCCGTCTTACAGTTTTGTTCCCCCCATCAAACTGAGCACTTTTGTAAGAGGAAAAAGCAATCCGATTTTTTTGAAGGTGATGGGAAACTTGTACAAAAGTGGTGGTGACTAAGTGATGCGCACCATAGGACGTGTGGAGATTGAGCGAAGACGAGTTGCAGTGTCTCACCCTCCTGGGCATCGCACCCCCTAAAATACAGGTGCAGGCAGGTTCACATTCCTACACGCCCCGCCTCACCAGGCCAGTCCTAGTACTTGCGCTGGATATATGGAGCATCATCGATAAGTACATGCAACGAAGTAGCCCCAGTGGAATCTGATATCGTGAATGTGAATGTGGATACGACGCTTGTTAATGCTATGACGAGGGGTTCGAGGTGGCTGGCGGCTTCCTGGTGAGGCGTGTCGGTTCGGGATGGCCCTCGTGGACCTGGAAGTGAGAGTATAATATTGACCATCTACTTATCGACCTGCAATACTCAACATTCAACAACCTAATGTAGCGGGACATATGCATCTCCGTCAACGCAGGCTGTATTTATTTCATGGTTTGTTCATCCGCCGACCCTCAAGTTCCACTAGCTAATAAGTTCTGCCTATATAGATTCTTGCCATGTGAAGTCCCGCCCACAACACGATTGTCAGGGTATAAATGCGAGCCATCTTCAACGCCCCCCACCTCAGAAATGTTCTCATTGACAAATCTCGTATAAGCTCGCACACATAATGTACCATGTCTGTCAGTGCATGCAGTGATCTCGAATCAGACTCTTACTGACCTAGTTCGCGAACCACGTTACGGTCGGACTGTCCGTATAACCGTGGATGAACAAAGCTCACAAGATCTTAGCAAGATATGAGGAAGAATCAATTATGTTTTCCGTAAGATAGGTTCTTCCTACATCGCCATAAAGTTCTGCCATAACAATATTCAGCACATAAAAGCAAGCCATCTTCCTACCGTTTCCTTCAGAATGATCTGATCCGATATCGCATCCTTACAAACGATGCGTTTCTACTTCGTCCTCCCGGTTGTTGCTGTGTTGACAGCGTCAATATCTGCCAATCCCATTGACAGCCGCAGCGACGCTGACACCAGCGATACTTGTAGCATCAATTGCAAAAATGATCCCTGCTGCACATGCGTGGGGCCAGGCACTGTGAATAAAAATGGCCAAGTGAGTACGAGTAGTTCGCGTCCTGGATTCAACCGTGACTCACTGGCGTGATAGGAAATGTGGATATGTGCGAAAGACTGAGTGGCATGTCGCGACAGTGAACTACAGTGAGTCGTGTTTCTGCTTTCGCATCGGTACAGTATGGCTGATAGCACGACGCGTGACTTACTAGTGGTTTCTTGCTGAGTTGATCAATGCGCATGCTTCTGAACAAATTTAACTGCCGCTCGAGCAATGGATATCTTGGAATAGAGTGTATCTCAAACAAGTACTTGAATACATAGCATATGACTGAAATACTTGCAATGCAGTTTTGTAGTCTCGTTGTAAGCTTAAACCTAGAAGCCCTCATGACAGCGTCAGGTGGGTGCGATCATGGACAGCACGTTGAAACTGATACACTCATAGCCATACTGGCACTGAAGTCTGACGACTCTCCACGTTCCTTGTTTCTGTTTCAAGATACAAATTCCGGTCAGTGGCACCTGCCTCGAGGAATCAGAATGCTGCGTGACCTCTCCTGTCAAGCCTAAGGTCCAAGGAGATCTATCTCATTCCCAATATCATCGACTGTATGTCTACACATCCCAGACCACGAGGTGTAACCGTACCCGCCGCCCATAATGATCTCAGCCCAAGGAAACCTAGTCACAACCTACTGCTCGACAAGCAGCTCCTCGACGACGCCCCCAAAGTAAGCATTCGAAAGAGAATAGCTTCATGGGAGGAGAGGAGGGTCGAAGAAATGTGGATGGATATAGATAGCGCCTTGGAAAAATGGATCTAGCTGTGAAACCGAGCATGTGGAGAAATGAGAGGACTGAGGAGGTGTGGTGGATAAGCGGAGACGATGGGGAGGTTCGTCCGATAACAAGAGTGGTGGATGTATCACATGCCTGGTCCACGCTCCTCCATCATGCCTGTTCGTAGCTCAGCTATCTCCAGGAGGCACAGGGGAAATTTCAGAATACGGACCAGTGACAAAAGTAAATCAGAACAACACAGCGCACCTCGCGTTCTGGACATATCACTCCCAGGCTCCTTTTGAGACACCATAGACTTGTTCGCCACAGGGCGAGGGACCTGTGGACCTGGATCAAGGCGCTCCGTATCGTACAAACCTCCCGAAGACACAGACATATAGTGCAGATGCGTTTGGAGCTCAGCGCTCATCTACCAGCTAGGCAGTTCGGGGCACAATCTTCGCTGAAACGCACATCCGCTCGAGAGATCAGAAACCCGCACCAACACGACCCGTTCCAAAATCGGGACCTTCACTAGGCAATCCCCCTTCTAGTGTTTGCACGCTGCATATATGGAGCATCATTGATGAGCATACGCAAGGATGTTGATAGTGGAATCTGATATCGTGGGTGGTTACGGTTTCTTGATGCTACGACGAAGGTTTGAGATGCCTGGTAGCTTCCTGGCGAGACGTTTCGGTTTGGGATGCCTTTGGTGGATTTGGAGCTCGCGTTGGTGGACAATGCGTCCTGCATGCGAAGGGTGTCTGGGTTGAAATGCAAATAAGCGAACTCGGGTTAATATTCAGGCTGAAAGCCGATATCGAGCTGCAGCAATTGATCACCGAGAATGGGCCTCTGCGGCCAGTGTTCAGAACTAGTTTTGTTCGTCTGGATGCAGCGAAAGCGGACGATGTCGTTGGTGATGATCCCGGTGAATTTATCGTCCTGTTGAGGCTAAAAGATTGTGCGACGAGGAAGCACTGGGTAAACGGCATGTCGGACATATGTTGTGTGTTATAGCGGTGCGGGGGATGCAGGGTGAACAGCTTGCCCATCGACTGCGGAGCGGAAGGATGTTTTATTGGGGTAGAAGGGGGCTGTTGCTGTCGGGCGTAGTGAGAATCCTGTAATTGGTTGACCGTGGGTGCGAGTTCATTCTGTTGAATGAAGAGGAAGATGGAGGAAGATGCGTGGATAGAGACGGAGAGTGACAAGGTGTTGCAGTGGAATGACATTTGACGGTGCGGAGTAATTATAGAACATTAATACAAGATCATTGATTGGTTCTCAAGGCACGGAGCTTCACGGAGCTGTTACCTCGTTAATTCAAAAGTTGAAGACTCAAGAGCTTTATCGAGACTCGTTTTGGTGGAGGCATTGTGATCCTTGCAAAGATTCGAAAGAGGTTGTGAATACTGTCCACACACTTCATACAGCATTTCCCGGACACCTGATGCCTATACAGCGTGTTCGCCTGAGTCATATTTTGTCCATTTGTCCAGCGCAACCCTTCATACAAATCACAAGAAAAAATTATTTGAGAGTGGTGTTCTTATTATTAACCATCTTCGACTTGACTCGCACTTGGCTGCGTCTCAAGACTCAAGGTTAAGTAAGGCGTAGTTTTCCTGATGTGGCACTGAGGTTTTCCTTGGTGGCCGATAACGGTATTGTAGTTGCGAGAAGAGGAGAATTGAAGTCTACAGAAGGTGAATTTTTTTGCGAAAGCAGTTACACATAGACTTACGCAGATGCTGACGAGACAGACATTCATGAAGTAACCTGCTATATCTAGAATTATGAATCAGCTGCGCGTTCTCAGATGACATGGCTCCCGAGGTACCGATGAAAGTGCCTTATGGATTTTGGTTAGGGTGACCAAATACACAGGCAGGGCTACTTACCAAATGGCGGAGAATCTGGCATACTGGCCCTTATCTGTGGAAGGGCAAACAGGACTGAATGATGTCAGTGGCGCATCTATCGATTCTCTGTAGCTCGCACTGCACCTGTTGTTGAAGCCAAGATAAGGCCATCATTAACGTTTGTACGGAACAGCACTAGGATTGTCATCCATAAAATGGTGACAGAGAGAGCCCCTATAATCCGATCAGAACAAGCCCGACCACGCACGCTAGGTGACTCTCACAGTTTGTGATGACCAGGACGAGGGCGAACGTTTTTATCATTCCTTGTCGCTTGGCATTTAGGGCTAATGCATACAACGTCTCGTCCCCTACTACAGTCGGATAAAAAGCACTGAGACCGATCCAATTCACTATGGTTCCATATCCAATTACGCCAGATATCGGCAGTGATGTATTGCTGTCAGTATCAATGGCTAATAGCGATACATATGCAGAGTATCTGCAACAAGTCAATAACACCAATAAGGGAAATGGAGCAATGCCATTACTCATCGAATGGATAGTAAAGAGTTGATGCTTGCTTCTGCAACGTATACGGAAGAAAAGGATCCATAGGCAAATCCGTAGCATATTCTTGTGCTGGTAATTGCCTCGAAGATGCTCGAATCAAATGTCCGTTGCAGATGTGGATTAGAGCTTACCCTCTTCCGGGTATGTATGTTACTGGCAAAGGATTTTGGACTGGTGATGAATCAAAAGTGCCTATCGGGGCCGTCGTGTTCCAATTTACAGTGGCATTTCTAATAAGCAATGTGAGGTCAGGCACACACAGCGAAAATCAGCTTCACTCGTTCAGATACAGGGCGATGTTGTTAACAAATTGATTTTGAATGCAATCATCGTTTGACGAGCCCGTAAACTGCCGTCCGCAAGCGCCAACAAGAGACCAGTGAACCTAGAGGTCCTTAGGGGCGAATGTACGGATGTCAAGATGATACTCACAGACAATGTCTGTCCATTCAGGTCGATTGAGAACATGTCGGCGAGTCTAAAAATATGTCAGCTATTGCCTGTCGATAAGAACAGAATATTCACAATATCAGCTGCGTTTCAGTAGTTAGCGTGAATCCACTCAAAACCCATGGATACAGGACTTACACCGGGGACTCCGCTGATATGGAAAAAGTTCAACGTAGTATTATCCATGCTTACTTGGGCCCAGAAGTTTATGTTCAAATAAAGTTGTGTGAGAAAGATAGAGGTCCCAGCGAGCAAGGCAAAGACGCCTGCCAACATCGCTATCGGACCATAACGTATCAAGATTGGGTTCCGTCCTAGTATTATCCGTTGTAACCAGAGTGATAGTGGCATACCTGTTTTCGAGGGTAGAAAAGTGAACTGATGTGGTGTTCGACTGTGCAAACTCACTTATATATAAGCCATCTATAGATCAATGATCAATCCCACGCTTTAGACACATGCCGTTTGAGCTTATCGCTCGCTCTTGTTTTAAGTCGAGAGTTAGACGCTTTACACGTTAGAATCACACTTACAATGACCTCAAAACGTACCAGCCGAGGTGAGCTTGCATCCGCATCTATTGGCGGCGATCCAGTGAGCGCCAAATGTGTACATGTGGCAGGATGATATGTCTCTTTCACAGGCAGTTCACGCGGAGTGCGTGCTGCGAAAATTCAACTATGCATGCATAGTCACCACATCGGTGGCTCGCAGACTTGTCCTGCCTGTTCACGAAAATGAAGGTCATGCCTCTACTGGTATGCAAAAAAAACAAGGAGCTCGAAAGGCTGACTTTGCTTACACATCAGAGCTCCCCTCTGCTATACAATTGTAGTCGCTGTTCTTGCACGTCCCATGCGTCGTAATGACGCCCGAGGTGAGATTTGAAATTTGTGAACACTTGGCACCTTTCTGCCCAGGTGGCGGTGTCAAATTTCCAGATACGATACGGAGATAAGCGTGTTTCCATCCGACATGCCAGATTTCCAGCTTGTTCGTGCCCGTCGCAATCATCGTGCCATCGGGTGAGCTATAGCAAACCGTGGACACATAATAGCCGATATTCACTGTGGTCTGATGAATATTTTCTGTCCCCTCGACGTCCCACACTCTTACTAACCCATTGTCGGATCCGCTCACAACTCGCACTCCGTCTGGACTCCAGCAGACAGACCGCACTTCCCTTGTGTGCCCCGTCCATTTTTTGATGATATTCCCGTGTCAATGTTCCACAATCTCACTGCACTATCAAACCTCCCGCTTGCTACTTTCTTGCCGTCTGGCGACAGTGCTATCGCGCCCAATCCCCTATAGAGCTCCTTCGTCCGAGTCCTCCCATGCATCCCCGATCTGCACACTGCTCTCCTAAGTCCCACGCTCGAAGGGAGCCATACAACCGACAGGTGATGATCCGCTGTTTATCGGGCATGCGTAGGACTCCATAGACTCAATTAGTGTGTCGTTGCAGCCTTTGGTGAGGTTTTGTTGCTGATTTCTCTTGCTTTGCAGGGACTCGTCAAGACATGGTTTGGCTCGGGGACTTCACCTAATGAGCGCGGACCATTTCAGATCTTACCCAGCAAACGAATGTCATCGCTTCTCAGAGGTACTTGATTGTACACAGAACAAACGTGTTCGGAATCAAAGCTGAAACGGAGCGGATGTTTTGTTCAATGCAGTAGAGTCAGCAAGAAGGTCGTTTTTAGCGGTGGGTGGGTCTTCTTTGCTTTATCCTCCCTGTGCTGCCTTCTTCGTGCGCAGGGAGAACCCCTGTCAGACATCAGACAACGGTCCCAGTACTCCCTTGTTCAACCTCTCTTTCAGAGGCACGCCTTGGAGTTCACAAGGTGCTCAAGACTGTCACCACCTCTGTACGAGGGCCCCCAATTTAGACGGACGAGGATTCGTGGATGAGACGATTCAGCTTTTCGCCTCCGCATCTTCCGATAGTTCCCGATAGTTGGAAGTTGTATCGTCGGCGCCGGACGCTCTGCAAATTTCAGTAAACTTAGCAGACAAGACTACAAACGACAACGGCGTGATTTCCCCATCTCGCTCATCGCCTCGCTGATCATTGACAGTTGGTTTGGGCGCTCGAGGTGCCTTCAAACAATCAGATAAGATAAGACTTCAACATCTCAACTGCGACCGAGTCCTCGCTCACCTCAGACGAGTAGTGGAACTGAAAACCAAAAATTCAAGATGATATGAGATGGTAGAACACCAATATGATTCGTTAGGATCTGTTAATCGTCAACATAACCTCGATCATCTGTGTCTGAAACATATTTGAAACATCACCTTCAGCGTCCTCGAGGCCCGTGGTAGTACGATACAGACTCCAGAAAGCGTGTTCCGCAGTGCCACTGTGAAGATGACACGATACACGAGGCACAATACTAGTGCCACTTTGTAACAATCACAGACACAAGATGCTGTATAAACCTGTACAAACCTGTGCATGCGCCCTGTTTTGCCAACAGCTGAGAGACCTCTCAAATAATGAGTCAGTCTCAGATCTGAGATGTCTACTGGAGACGGATCATGATGAAGATAAGATATGGGGAAATGATACTCGTTTGGCAGTTGCGGGAGTAGCCTGTGATGCACGAGGCAAATCATCAAGCACGTTTTAAAAATATGGTGCCTGTGCAGGCGGCCACCTGATCAGGGGCTAATCATCAATGGAACTATAATCGTCGAAATCCTCGGATGTGGACGGGTGCATACTAGTAAAGCTGGGCGTTTAGTTCTCATCAGCGTACGCGTACGTCGCCTTGAGCGTTTCAGCCGACGCCTAGGCCTCACCTGTGATGATAGGCTGCACTGGGGTAAATATAAATTAACCAATCGATGATGAACGTGGTCAAGTCAAGTACGTAGCGGATCCTCCTTGCCTTGCATCATCGATATCTTCAACCAGCCATTCCAAGAGCTCACTCATCGGACGAGTAGGAGACCTGAAACCCAAATTCAAAGATTATTATATTAGAACACCGATATGATCTATCAATTAAATAAATCGTCAACACAACAAGTCAGCCGCTTGATCATACAATCGAAGAACTGACCTGCAAGTCGCGACATATCCGAAGGCGTCATCTCCAGCATCCTCAGGGCCAGTGGTGGTGGTGATAGTATGATGCAGACCCTAGTACCAGTCCCACAGACAATATCTCAAATCTCAAATGATGTGTCAGTCTCACGATCACCAAAGAATAAGATCTCCCTGAGACATCTACCCCTCCCCAAAACTCCACAAATAATAATGATAACGAATCCCATCTCGGACGGGCAAAATACGAATTGAATGAATTGCATCGTCCTGTTTGTAACTTGCCCATCTGGACTCTAGACTCTGGATGCCATGTGCATTGTGCGTGAATGTAGCAACTGCCGCCTTTGCACGAGGAAAATGAAAATGATGGCGCGTTTATACGGTGCTGTGTACACCTGTACAGCCGCAGGTAGGCCAGCGAGATCATACATGCGTTTCGTTCATTTCTGAGATGTGGCCATGGAGGGAACTTGACTTGAGGTTGTGTTCGACAGAGTACGATGTGATGCGATGCGTAAATATAGAGCAAAGCAAATCGATGAGTCGGTCGAAGCTGCTCAAGTTCTGGAATCTCATCTCAGTGATCGCTGATCAGCGGTGTTTCAGTCAACACACCTTTGATCATAGCTGTGAGCTGGGGTACGAGGATCGGCCAATCGATAACACGACGGTTCGGAGGTGGTTAATAGATCGCATTGCTTTGCCTCGCCTGCCTTTCATCCTCGCGCCGTAACAAATCCGTAGTTGGACTGCTCCCCTTTCGAGTTCTGCAATCCTCAAGTCCGCGCGCTGCAGCGATCGCAAGCAATGTCGCTTTGCCAATACACTCCAGTCCTTGGAGAGAGAAAACGTAGGTCTAGATCAGAGTAATCAACGAGGTTCAATCATCAAACGACTCCTCACAATATTGATATCAATTATCAATTATCAACGCCAAGGCGCCTGAAATTGTTTTCTGCTCAAACCCCATCAGTACCACTACCGTCACCTTTAACGTTGACATGCAACGAGCGGTCACTCCGATCGATGGTCCACGTCGATTGGAGTGACGACTCGTCGCATGCTCACCAGGTGCCTGACCTCCAAGTTGAAAGTTCGAAAGGTAAACCTAGATCAGAGCCATCAGCACCATTACGATCACCTTTTAACGTTGACATGCAACGAGCGATCACTCCAATCGATGGTCCACATTGATTGGAAAAATGGCTCGTCGCATGCTCGCTAGGTGCCTGACCTCCAAGTTGAAAGTTCGAAAGGTAGACCTAGATCAGATCCATCAGCAATGTTCCATCATCATTGATCAAACGACCTCTTCACAATATCAATGTCATGGGCGCCTGAAATTGTTTTCTAAACAAACCCTCAGCGCCATTACCACCAATATCGACATTGACATGCAACGAGCGATCACTCTACTCGGCGGTACACGTCGACTAGAACGATAACTCGTCGCATGCCTGCCAGATGCCTTCCTCCAAGTTGAGAGCAACACGGGACTCGGGGAATATGAATGATACGTAGTGAACAACATCTGGCAGATACTCCGCCGGAAGTATTGCTCACGACGTGGCTCTTTGAAATCGTTCGTTCATTGCAGTAGATGAGTTCAACTTGTTTGCGCCTCTCTAAAAAGTGTATTTACACATATTTGTTTGATCACGTGCAATAAAAAACAATCAATTACTCCAAGTCTAAGGAATCGAGCTACAGTACGGGTACGCACTACGCGGGCTGGGCGAACGAAAGTGCGATTATATACGCAGAGGCCATGAGTTGTACAGTACAAAGAACAAAAAGTGATATGACGATGCGTGCGTGAGATGAACGAGTACGAAGAGGGTAAGTATCACGGATCGTTATGATGAACAAAAATCTCTGCAACGCTGCGACACCGCAATCTGAAATCACGAATAAGACGAAAGAAAGAAAGAAAAAAGGGTCTAGCGTATGAACGTCCAAAAGTGGGTCCATCGCCTCACGTACACATAACAACACGATTAATGGCTTTTGAAGCGACGAGTCTAAGGCCTGATAGACTCATACGCAGGAGGAATATCTCTCGGTTCACCCTCTTCACTCGGCCCTGCATCTTCATGCTGCACAACACCGCCACCGCCACTGCCCTCAGCGTCCACTTCCTGTTGGGTAGCGAGACCGAGCCCCTGATGTGCCTCTCTTTCTTTCATGGCGCGACCGCTGCTGGAGGTGTTACTCACGCTCGGGGCGGGGCTTGTGAGTGGGCGTGGGTTTTCCCAATCTCGTTGTTGCATCGCATAGAGGTTCTGGCCTTGGGAGTATTGTCCTGGTCCTGGGCGTATGAAACCTTGAGAGGGGTACCCCTCGCCTGGGGAGGTGGGGGTGTCGGAGTAATGCGAGGGGGAGCTGAGTGGACTGGTCGTACGGCGCATGCTTGCCCCTGCAGCAGCTGCGCCCATGCCTGCAGCACCAGCAGCGAGGTATGGGCTTTCTCCATACTGGCGCATGCTCCCGTGGTCAGGATAGGGTAAAGGTGTGATTTCGTTCTCATCTCCGAGATCGACCTGTGGGAGTGTACCGCCCCCTGAAGGGTGGCTGATGACTCGGTCTGGGTCAAAGTTGCCGTCGAACTCGTCTCGCCGTCTGCGTCGGCGTAGACAGAAGAAGAGGAGACCGAGGAGGGCGATTGCTGCTATGCCTCCGACTACGCCACCTACGATTGCGCCTGTGTTGGAGGTTGTAACGACAGGGCTTGGGGCTGGGATTGTTGTGTATGTGGATACTTGTGTTGTGATGAATACTGTTGAACCGACTGAATTTGTTGTGCTGGGATGGGGTAAGGGTGTATATTAAAATATGGATAAGAGAAGACTGACGCAATCGTGGTGGCTACTTGAGTCGCCACGGAGGTCATGGATGTTGTCGTTGGTGTTGAAGAAGTCGTGGTAGGTGTTGTCGTTGGTTGGGCACTGCTGCTGGCTGGAGAAGGGGAGACATAGGTAGACGAAGTTGTTGGGGTTGTTGTTGGGGTGGTGGATGTCGGTGTTGTTGTTGGAGTTGTATAAGATGAAACTATAAGTCGTATTAGCACTGTTTGTGGACTGAAGAGGAGAATAAGAGGGGGAAGAGATACTTGGTGATTGACTGGTAGGTGGGGAGGTAGAAGGAGAAGTAGGGGGGGAAGTAGGGGGAGAAGTAGTACCAGGTGCTGTCGTAGGCGCCGCTGTTGTAGAAGGCGCCGCTGTGGAAATAGGTGCAGCTGAAGTAGCCGCTGGTGCAGAGGACATGATGACAGGGAAAAGAAAGGAAATGTGATTGGAAATTAGTAAAAGGATGGAGCCGAATAGGAGGGACACAAGAACACCAAGCGAGTCACCAAAAACGTTTGCCAATTAACCTTGCAACTTTTTGAACTAACAACGAGGCAACAGCTCCGTGAAATTCCGTACTATAATTACTGTCAAGCATGCTTTCTCACGGTCAACCAAGATACCCGTACACCCATGCGACTCAACACCTTTAAAAAGCTCACTGTGCACTCCGTTAACTCGGCATTCGAATCATCCCGACGGTTCACTTCCTTCTCATTTCACCGACTTCTAGATTACTTCTATTTCCTTGTCTTCTTCATATAAAAGGTCCGGTGAGCTGTCTCGTATTCCATTTTACCTTATCAGTTAGCCTATCTTTGACAGTCCTTTGGCTTATCTGGCATACTTCGCTCTTTCCACCCCATGCTGCTTCTTCGAAACCCCAATTCATTTATTCTCTCCCACGACATCCTGTCTTATTATCCGGTCGTGCCAGACTCATTTGACAAGATTCTCACTACGCCCGACAGCAACAGTCCCCTTCTACCCCAATAAAACTTCCTTCCGCTCCGCAGTGGATGGCTAAGCTTTTCACCCTGCATCCCCCGCACCGCCATAACATACAATATACATCCGGTATGCCGTTTATGCAGCGCTTCCTTGACAGGACGTTAAATTCACCGGGGTCATCACCAACGACATCGTCCGCTTTCGCTGCATCGAGACGAGTAGAATTAGTTCTGAACACTCGCCACAGAGGCCCATTCTCGGTGATCAATTGCCGCAGCTCGATATCGGTGTTCGGCATGAATACGAACCCGAGTTCATTTCCACCCAGACACCCTTCGCACACAGGACGCATTGCCCACCAACACGAGCTACAAATCTACCAAAGGCATCCCAAACTGAAACGTCTCGCCAGGAAGCTACCAGCACCTCAAACCTTGGTCGTACCATCAACAAACCGTAACCACTCACGATATCAGATTCCACTATCAACCTCCTTTCGTTGATGATGCTCTATATATGCGGTGCGCAAACACTAGAAGCAGGATTGTCTAGTGAAGGCTCTCTCGTGAACCTCTTCTCTTTCGAACGCTGGCTTTGGAGCCGTCTTCTTCTGGAGCTCCTTATCGAGCAATAGCCTTACCTCTCTTTGGGCTGCGATCATTTTGCACTGTGGTTACAGTCACACCTCGTGGTCTAGGAGGTGTGGATACAGCCGATAACATCGGGAATGGGATAGATGTCCTTGGCAGGGGAAGTCACACCTCTCGCAGCATCCTGATTAATGATTGGTGATTCCTCGAGGCAGGCGCCACTGACCGGAACTTGTATCTCGAAACAGAAACGAGGCCCGCGGTTACTTTTGGAGATCTGTCAGATTTCAATACCAGTATAGTTGTTGGCGTTATCTGAATCCTGATACGTGACAAGCTTGAGTTGTATCTTGTTGATGGGTAGTGCTGTAGGGGATTGGTTTGTAGTCTTCCCGGGCATACCATAACCATAGACGAAGGACAGAATGATATACTATGGAACGTTCGTGGTTCGTAAAGCCAATCAAGCGGTGGCTGTGCTTATCAATTTGTTCCAGTTAAGTACTTCTGTGCACCGTGACTCCACCATTATCTACTCGACAGTCTCGACTCCTCGACATCGACTGCTGACGAGTCTATCTACGAATATGAATTACGCAATGCACATCCCAACTATGCCGAGGCACTCTCGTGTCAAGTTGACCTCTGGCAAATCGTCGTATGATCAAAATGACTTGCAAATCAACCAGGATGAACCCCTAATTACTTTCTTCAACCATTGTGTACCTCACGAGCCACTAACCGCTGAACTTGTACCCTCTGGCAATAAATGCGACCGTTCCCGCCTCTCTATCGATTCTGGTTCCCTTACAATTTCTTTCCAGCGCACAATCCGTGTGCCCGACACCGGGAAGCCAAACCAACTTCCACCAGGATTAGGGAGCTTCCCGCTTTACAATGTTGCCGAATTTTCTCATGTCTTGCCACAAGATATGGTAGAAAAGGGCGGTTTGTTCTTCGCAATGTACCGTACGTTGGGTCAATTTACGGTACTATGTCACTTATCGCATGTCGATGCGGGTTATAGAACGGGAAGCAATGTGGTTGCAGTTCACAAGCAAAAAACCATTCGCTATTCGGATATACGTCGGTGGTGTCAATGGCATCACTGGTGAACCCATGATTCCGAACATGGCTACTCTGCTTAAACGACAGAATGGGGTCGAGAAAAAGCAGGATTACATCATTGTACCTGAACAGCCATGGTTAGATGGTATCGCAACTGGTCCGGGTATGGTTAAGCAGTTCGTTGCTGTCCCCTATGGATCGGGTTATTCAATCGAGCATCAGGTAATTTTTTTGACTCTTCAGATTTAGTGATGGCTGAGAGAGAATCAGATCACTGGGTCAGAAACAACTGGCGGTATCCAATTTGAGGTGATACCAGTTTACGAAGATTCGGTGCATTTTGAGGGAAGGGATATCTATCACACTCCTCGAGAGCTCGGACTCTCCGTCGGCTCTGAAATGACGATGACCAACCTCAAGGTGGCTCCATCTAGGACTTCCGGGGGCATGCGGATTCACGTCAATCTCCCAAGGGGAGAGACAATCACTGTCTGGACAGACAGTTGTGATACTATAGGCAGACTCATATCCCGGGTGCTAGTCAATGATGGAATCGAATACGGCTTATCAAAGACGAATTCGTGGCCATTCCTCGACAGCCGCCGAACACTTTTGGACTACGATATTCGAGCTGAAACGACCCTCTATCTAATGTATAACCCAAGAGGAGGGTGGACAGGGCAAGAGACGCCAATGATGAGTTTCGGCGCTGGCGGGACGATTAAGCAGGCCATAAACGAAGATCACAATAACCCACGTATCTGGGACGTCGGGAGAGCGAAGATCTTCAACGTGCAAGTTCTCAACTCAGCCCGCTTCGAAGATATCACCAAGATGCTGGCACCTCCAACCCCGGTTGATGTCAAAACATATGCCGCAGCAGGACTTCCCTTTTTCGATATCTTCAATGAAGTGCCAACCGACGTCCATGGATCTGCCAGGTTTAAGCAGGTAAAGACTGTCTCTGAGATGGATCAGAAGTTGGGTGCGGGGTCAAGCGTCACTTACAAACCAGGCGCGCACGTCCCTCTGCAGAAATGCAAATGCCAGATTAATATGTTAGGTTGTGTGTACGTGTCGAAACCTTGTTCGTCCACACATGAAGTTGATCGCTTACTTTGTAGTATTCGTCCCTGCAATCACGCTGTTTGCTCGGTGTGCGCAGCATACGGCTCCTGTAGTCGGTGCCCAGTTTGCAGGAAAGCAGCGACGAGAATTGTGGGCATCGCCGCCCCAATGGGCGCCCCTGGCATGGAGTCAATTCCGAAGCTTCCGGTAGTGTTGTTGGAGAGGCATCAAGTGGATGATGGGAGAGAGGAATTCGTCAGTATCGTCCGTGATGGGGCGAAATGATGGAATTAGGTTGTGGGAGGAAGAAGATGTATTATATTTTCTGTTTGCGTTGTATTGATTGTGGTTAGCATTTGTACTTTTAGGCTTAGATATGCACGAGCTCCCTACTTGTCCCTTCGCTGCCGCTCCTTCGAATCTTTGCAAGCATGATGCATCACACTGCCTCCACCAAAACGAGTCTCGATAAAGCTCTTCAACTTGTGAATTAACGAGGCAACAGCTCCTTAAGAACCAATCAATGATCTTGTATTAATGTTCTATAATTACACCGCACTGTCAAATGTCATTGCACTGCAACACCTTGTCACTCTCCGTCTCTATCCATGCATCTTCCTCCATGTTCCTCTTCATTCAACAGAATGAACTTGCACTCATGCGGTCAATCAAGATCTGGACTCATTTGACAGGATTCACACTACGCCTGACAGCAACGGCCCCCTTCTACCCCAACTTGAATGAAACATCCTTCCGCTCCGCAGTCGATGGCCAAGCTTTTCACCCTGCATCCCCCGCACCGCCATAACATACAACATACGTCCGACATGCCGTTTAACCAGTGCTTCCTCGTCGCACAATCTTTTAGCCCTCTTGGGGAGGTTTGGACGATACACATCGATCCAGGTCCACAGGTCCCTCGACCTGTGACGAACAAGTCTATGGTGTCTCAAAAGGAGCCTGGGAGTGATATGTCCGGAACGCGAGGTGCGCTGTGTTGTTCTGATTTACTTTTGTTACTGGTCCGTATTCTGAATTTTCCCCTGTGCCTCTTGGAGATAGCTGAGCTACGAACAGGCATGATGGAGGAGCGGGGACCAGACATGCGATACATCCACCACTCTTGTTATCAGACGAACCTCCCCATCGTCTCCACTTATCCACCACACCTCCTCAGTCCTCTCAATCTCCTCATGCTCGGTTTCACAGCTAGATCTATTTTTCCAAGGCGCTATCTATATCCGTCCACATTCCTTCGACCCTCCTCTCCTCCCATGAAGCTATTCTCTTTCGAATGCTTACTTTGGGGGCGTTGTCGAGGAGCTGCTTGTCGAGCAGTAGGTTGTGACTAGGTTTCCTTGGGCGGAGATCATCATGGGCGGCGGGTACGGTGACACGTCGTGGTCTGGGATGTGTGGTCATACAGCCGATTATATTTGGAATGGGATAGATCTCCTTGGACCTTGGGCTTGACAGGGGAGGTCACGCAGCATTCTGATTCCTCGAGGCAGGTGCCACTAACCGGAATTTGTATCTTGAAACAAGGGACGTGGTGACTTATGGAGATTCGTCACATTTCAGTGTTAGGATAGCTATGAGTGTATCAGTTTCAGCGTGCTGTCTATGATCGTACCCACCTGACACTGTCATGAGGACTTCTAGGTTCAAGCTTGCAACGAGACTACAAAACTGCATTGCAAGTAGTTCAGTCATATGCTATGTATCCAAGTACTTGTTTGAGACACACTCTATTCCAAGATATCCATCGCTCGAGCGGCAGTGAAATTTGTTCAGAAGCATGCGCATTGATCAACTCGGCAAGAAACCACTAGTAAGTCACGCGTCGTGCTCTCAACATACTGTACCGATGCGAAAGCAGAAACACGACTCACTGCAGTTCACTGTCGCGACATGCCACTCACTTTTCCACACATATCCAGATGTACTAGCATGCCGGTGAGTCACGGTTAAATCCAGGACGCGAACTAGTCGTACTCACATAGCCACTTGTACTCACAGCGCCTGACAAGATGCATTTTTGTTCCCTGCAGCAGGGATCCCAGTTGCAATAGAGGCGACAAGCATCGCTGGTGTCAGCGTTGCTGGTGTCAGCGTCGTTGCGGCCGTCAATGGGACTAGCAGATATTGACGCTGTCAAAGCAGCAACAACCGGGAGGACGAAGTAGAAACGCATCGTTTGTAAGGATGTGATATAGAATCAGATAAATCTGAAGGGAACGGTAGGAAGATGGCTTACTTTTACGTGCTGGATATTGTTATGGCAGAACTTTATGGCGATGTAGGAAGAACCTATCTTATGGAAAATATAATTGATTCTTCCTCATATCTTCCTAAGCTCTTGTGAACTTTGTTCACGCACGGTTATAAGGACAGTCGGACCATAACGTGGTTCGCGAACTACTAGTACTAACTACCAAGCCCCCTTATTACCTCCGATAGGGTCAATAAGAGTCTGGTTCGAGACCACTGCATGCACTTACAGACATACAGTCTAAAACGGGCACTTGAGCCAAACACCCATAGCACAACACTCGCACAATATTTGGCCAAAGTGCAGGCTAACATTTTATTACCTTGTAGTCATCTTCTATATATGATCCTGCTTGGCCTAAATATGTTTTATGATCTTGTGCTGTGTGTTGTAATGTGCCAGAAATTTCATTATTTCAGTGCTACAAGACCATATTGAATTATCCTCATCACCCAAGTTCGTGAAATCAATGGACACAACCTCTGCCAACAACTTCATCAAAGAAAAAGTACTGATACTGCATATAATCATCTGCCAGTGTGATGCTGGTGGAAGGTTGTGAAATGTACACTATCAATTTGATTTAGTGTTGCTGTGGCTCGACTTGGACCGGTTCGGGCTCGGCTTTTGTCAGTTTGTCAGCAGTTCGGCTCTCCTGGTGAGTTAAGCTACCTATATCCAGCTCGGTTCAGCTGGCTAGCCACACAAGCCGGCTCAAGCTAACATTTGTTTTCATTACCAATAATCTCATTGCTAACAGTGTTTGGATTCACTTCTTCTCATTCCTTACGCAGTGCATGCATGTACCCTATCATTCAACCATCTGTTGTTGAATATATTGTATTTGTCCTTACTTATTGCAGGCTTCACAGCATGAGTAAAGTCCCAGCTCAAGTTGACGGAAGATTTAGGCTGGGAAACATTCTGGGATCTGGGTCATATGGTACATTGTAACATGATGTTGATATCCAACACATAGACTCGCTAAGCCTCACTTACTAGCTGTTGTATACTGCGCACAGAACTTCCTCAATGATGATGTAGTTGCCATCAAACTTGAGCCCCTCACCTCTTGCCCATCTTCTGTGGAGCACAAATATAAAATTCTGAAACAACTTGGAAATGGAGTTGGGATCCCCTGTGTCATTTGGTTCGGTAGGGAGTCAACATATCACACTTTGGCTCTTGAACTCCTTGGCCCATCATTGCATGATATCTTCAAGGCACGCAACCAAAAATTCAGCCTTCACACTGTCGTGAATATAGGAGACCAGCTGGTACATCACTTTGAGTGGGTCATTGCAGATGCTAACATATTTCCCAGCTTTCACGCCTCAAGTACATTCACTCATACGGCTACATTCACAGTGATATCAAACCACAGAACATTTTAGTGGGTCTTGGCAATTCAATGCAAACTCTCTTTATCATTGATTTTGGTATCGCAAAGATGTACTGGAATGCTGCAACTGAAACACATATACCATTTCGCTGGGGCCAACCTCTCACAGGCACTCCTGCCTTCGCTTCAATCAACAACCACTTGGGCTTGGAGCCAGGTCGTCGTGATGACCTCAAGTCATTTCCATATATGTTGATCTATTTCTTGCTTGGCTCCCTTCCATGGCTAACTAGCAACCATGAGAAGCTCTCCACCTCTGACATACTTGAGTGCAAAGTGGACACCACCATCATAGATTTATGTGATGGTATTCCTTCTGAATTTGCAAACCTTCTTGTCTACTTGCAGTCTCTTTCATTCTCAGAAGATCCTGATTAGGATTATCTTCACTCATTGCTTTGTGGACTTTGCACCACAGAAATTGGCTTGCTGGATTTCATCCAGCCCAATGACCCTGTTATACATTCTCCAACCTCCAACATTCACTTGGTGGCTGAGGCGGTGTTGCTGTGCCTGCCAAGACCAACATCTGTTCGTAAATCAACTTGTGTGTGAGTACATGATTTTTTAATCTTCACACACTCATGATTCATGAACCTAGTTTACGTCCTCGCAATGGCCCCCTACCACCTTCAACTACTTCTACCCCACATCAGAAAAAGAAACTCGTTGCATAGTATGATGGATGTATATATTTTGATTTGTTTCTGAAACTATCAAGAAATGCTGGATACCGTCAGATTGCCAACATGGAGGGTTCAACAAGATTTGGGTGTGGCGACTGGTTAAGACTCATAGTGGCTTTCGTTCCTAGGCATTATTTGTATATTTGTAGATGAGCTCAGGTGGAGCATGCATGTATTAGACAACCAAAATTGTTTGTATATGATATCATGTAATATGTACGTCGTGACTCCTCTTTGAGCGACTCCCACATGTCTCTTATCTTCCAACTTGCTGCCAACTTGCTGCAGGCTCTGAATTGTCACATCTCAAATCTTGATCATTATTGGATTTGATCAGCCTCGAGCCTCATGATCACAACCCCAGCAACAACTCAGCCTATGCTTTTCTACTCACGGACTCATCAATGCATCCCCTACCTAACATTCAAGACTATGGCATGCAGCACAGCCTAGGGACCTTTCACTTGTGATGCTGTTGAAGACAGCTGATATTATGTACCAGTGTGCATCCCATTGTCCTGTTTGTGTATTTCCATTAATGCTATAGTGATCAGACCTGCAACCCTCAATATCCTGGTGAGCCTCAAGTCCAGGTGTAACTAATTTTTCCCCACCACGCACATTGGGATTTTCCTGGGTCTCCCCAGGTTGAAGTTTTATATATATATACAGGTGATTCGCTTGTTGTATCTATAGCTCTATCATCACTAATATGAACAACCGTTGCAGCAAAAATCGAAAAAATGCCAATGCTACCCAGGCTGACGCCCCAGCTGCTACTCCCAATCCCACCACTACCACTGCAGCAGCAGCAACCATCAATACTACTGCAGCAACTTCCACTGCCCTCCAATGCCCTCAATGAGAGCGTCAGTGTCCTCGAAGATATCAAGATGGCAATGCTGAATTCTTCAACATCAATGAAATCAGCGCTAATGATGGGGAGGATGGTGCTCCCATAATAGTTGCACCTAATCCAGCCCCTAGCCCACTTCAAACAGGCGATGGTGCCCTCAATTCTACTCCAATCAGTCCCTTGGCCACTGCCCCAACTAATCCTTTGGCCACCACCCCAACTAATCCCTTGGCCACCGCCCCAACTAATCCCTTGGCAACCGCCCCAACCAATCCCTTTGCCACGACCTTAGTGAATCCCTTCGCTATGACTCCATCCAATCCTTTGGCCACCCATGACGGGAAAAGAAAATGAAAGGGGGTGGCAGTTGTTGACATCCCCCACTTCTATAGGACAGAGGCATCACTTAAACGTACCTGTATTCCCTGCGAGTAAGTGTCATGTCTGGGAGTGTTTTGTCAATCTCACTCCAACAGGGATATACATAAGAAAGACCCTTCATGGAAAATCCAGATGTACGCTGCTAGTTCAACCACAGGCACTCTTCGCACCCATGTGTACGTCTATCACATGGACCTTTACCTAGCAGAATGTGAGTGCTGGGGCCCAGTGGCCTGGCCAATTTTGATCAATGAGGTGCAATCCCGACTTGACGAGGGCTGGACCATCTCACAGATGCGTGAAAGGCTCAGCCAGGACCCAGATTGTACAATTGAGACACTTGGTGTTCCCCCCAATCCCGTATGCAACAATTCGCTGCCTGCACAGTCAGAAGCTGTTTTGCTGGACTTTTCAGTCAATGAGATGCACTGACATATCGTTAGATTCATCATAGCTGATGACCAGGTGAGTAGTATCTATTTTCCATGGAACATTATTAACGGTCATCTCCAGCCAATTAACGTTGTCGAGTGTCCGGAGTTTCGCCGGCTGCTCTGTCTCATGCGTCAAGATCTAAAGGAGTCGGATATTCCTTGCCGCACGAAATTTTGCTCACTGATCATAGATGCATGGCGTGACTACTTCCCGGTCATGAAACGTGACCATGTTTAGCTACTGATAACACACAGTGTCTTATGTCCTATAGAAAGCCCAAGGAAAAATCTTGTTCACGTCTGACCTCTGGTCAGATCCTAAGCTCTGCCCCTTCCTCACACTTACTGCCCATTGGCTTGCAGGGAAAATGCCAATTCAGCACTCGTCTTGAAGGGCGCTCTAATCGCTTTTCATTACATGCCAGGTAGTCATACAGGGAAGGCACTCGGGTCAACAATCTTCAATCTGATCAAGTGTGCCGGTGTGACACATAATGTCAGTGTTTATTTGTGCTGTTTGACATGCTCTGACTTGGTTTAGATGGGACACATGACGCTTGACAATGCTTCCAATAACCAGACTGCAATGGAAGAACTTTCTTGCCAATTGCTGCAATAAGGGATCAAATTCAATGCTGTTGATCACAGGGTCCCATGCTTTCCACACATAATCAATATATGTGTGCAGCACATCATGGATGAGCATTCTACTGTGGACCTTTCAGATGTTGCCAGTCCTTTCATAGTTGGCAACATCTCTTTCGACAAGGCAGTGTATATCACGGCTCTGTGAGGTGACATTATCTGTTGGGCCAGGGCCATTGTGCGTGCGATCTGCATGTCAAACAAATGACGCAATAACTTCAGAGACGTCATTCGCTTGGGCAATGATGCGAAGATTTTCCGAAATGACAACTATGAGGAGATAGTGCTCCCAGTTGTTGAACTGCTGTGTGATGAGCCCACACATTGGGACTCGACCTACATCATGCTTAATCACTTGAGAATACTTCGGCAGGTAAGGCCTCATTTCATAATCCTTGGCGTTAGCTAAACAGCAGCCCAGGCTGTTGATGACTTCCTTGATGATAACGATCAAAGGGCTATATCCCATCTGAAGTTAGAGCCAGTAGAATGGCAAATTTTGCAAGATCTTGAGGTGGTCCTAGAGGTTGGCCTTAATTTGTCCGAAATTGAGATGTACTTACCATTTTATATTAGGCACCGCATGCCATCCAGCAAAGCATGTCCAGCGAAAGCACTCCTGTGCTAAGTTGTGCCATTCCAGCTTTCGAAAGGTTGGTCAAAAAGTGGAAGGGTTTGGTGCAGCGCTTTGCGCACTTGGCACCTTTTGTTGCCATTGGTTTAACTTGGACTGATAAATACCATGACCGGATGAGCCACACAGGAGCATATGGAGTTGCCATGTGTCAGTCCCACGCATTTCTTTTAATCAAGGCTGATTCTCATGTGTGTTTGTACAGTCATTGATCCTGCGATTCATATGTCATGGATGAATGATAATTGGGACATGGTCCGAGTCAACAAGGCCAGGGATTATATTCTCAAACTGGTGCGTTTATTAACCCTCATAAAAGTGCAACTTTGATCTGATATGCTGTAGATGTGGAAGAAAAGAGTGAGAGATACCTCTGACTCCGCACTCTCTCTACCCTTGGAACAGTCAGATCACCAGACATGCGCTGCTGCAACACTAGGCTTGACAATCTATGGACTTTCTGACATAGATACACTGCCGCATAACAAGGGTGGCACACAAACGGTAGAACAGGAATTTAGCTCTTACAGCACGGCTGTCTGCAGCCCATGGGGAACAAATTTACTTGCATTTTGGACGGTAAGAGCCCTATGTCTCTATTATGTTTCGCTGATCATGATGTGTTGACTAGACCACACAGCCCATATTTCTGACCATCTATTCAATTGCAATGGACTATCTCCCCATACAGGCCTCTGCTGTTCCCTGCGAACACATTTTTTCATCCAGCAGTGAGACATACACAAAGAGAAGAAATCGCATCAGCCCGCCTCTGATGGAGGCCTTACAAATGGTCAAGTTTTCGCTGAAGAAAGAGTGACTTAACTTCACTGAAGGTTGGCAAGCCTCACAGAAGGACATGGAGTATGACTTGATGTGCGCCCTAAGCTCTGGTGATTCTTCGCCATCTGGCTCTGGTGATCTTTTGACCTCTGCCATCGGTGGATTCACTCTCGAGACTCCAGAATATGAGGCCCTTCTCAGAATCATCGCAGAGCAAGAATGTGATGATGTTCCGGATGTTCCTGGTGTTGTATGATCATTGATGCTTGCTTTTTCACTCTATTCTTGCTCATGTTTGCTTCTCGTCTACTACTACCCATACTTGTCCTAGTGTCTTGCTCCTCCTCATTCTGTTTTTCTAGACTAGCTTTAATTGTTGACTTGTTTTTCCTTGTGATTCTTGAATGTGTCTTTCTAACTGGGCAACCAACATGTGGCACCTCTTGGGAGGAGTCTACTTTGGTGTGTTGAGTCTCCAACATTGTTCAAGTGTGTACATTATACGCTGTATTTTCATATTCTTTACGTGAGTTTTGATCACTCATCTTGACCTGTATGCGATGCTGATGATGAGCGACAGAAAGCAATTTTTCTCAAGACGCTCATCAACAGAGCCATCATTCTTAAGGTCATGAGGATCAGAATCAGTCATTTCTAAGTTGTGTGCCTAGTGTCATTCTAACGGATGAGCTTGATCAGCTTGTTGTGATTGCTGTTGAGTGGAACCTCTGGCTGTGATGCCATCACAAATGTATCATACATTTCACAAGTTCATCTCTGACATCGGTCTGTTCTTTTCTCTGCTGTCAGCACATTTTTCATTGTCGCGATCGAGTCCAACCTCAGTCTCAATTCCAGTGAGTCAGTGATACTGCAAATGTGTCCTTCTCATGCAGCTCATACAGATCAGATTCGGTAACATCGCTGCAGTCTGTTGTAGACTCAGAAGTGCAATTTTTCGACCAAGGACTGGATGATTTGGCAGGGAAGGAATACATTCTGGAGTCTGGAGTCGTTGTACACGCTATCACATTCTCTATCCCACTATCACATTCTCTATTCCCACTATCACATTCTCCTGCTGACTTCACCTCTCACCTCAGGCCTAAATCCCACCATCCTTGCCAATCTACTTCGCCACTTTGATGGCTGATCCAGCACATAAACCGTCTCCGCTCCCCTCTGCACCTGCGCCTGTGGGGTGCACTGCAACTTCTTCAGCCCCTTCGCTGCTGCCTTGATCATTCGCGCACGATTGAGGCTATAATAGTGCTGATTCCAAGGGACTCAGTGCATAATCAGACCTTGGCATCGGATCACTTACATCATTCTGCGGACCCATTGCAAGTAAGTGAGTTTGTATGACGACAAGTATTTGGACTCTAACTCTTTGCTGTGTGATCGATAACCAGCGGCGTCAATTGGCGCTGAATAGGTATTTAAAAATAATCTATTGGTTATATTTATAAAACATCTAAATATAACGGCTGCCAGCTGGCTTGACCTGCAAGCCATGGCTAAATTGGCCAAGCCGAGCCCTTGAGTATGTAAGCTGTTCATTTGTAACGGCTTGGCCAGCCACATTTTAATTTTGGCTGCAGCCGGGCTCGAAGCTGGAGCCATGGCAACACTAGGGACACACAATAACATTGATAAATTATATATGGTTTAGACCCTTCAGTTTGCTACTAAGACTGGGCAAGGTGTCTAACATGCTGCTTGTCCACTCTCCTCCAGAAGATGTGTCGCCCATATTCTCAGACCAAGAAAAAGCAGCTTGCCAGCCAGGAAAAAGAGAGAGCAATCACTGCTGCTGTCAAGACATACAACATTGAGCAGGACAAGCCAAAAAAAGAACAGAGAAGCTTACAGAGGATCTGCAAGGATGTCAAAGAAGACTGGCTCACAAAATACAAGAAGCATGTTGTCGTTAACCACAACACTGTCTCCTGATGACTCAAAGAAGGTCAAAGCTGCTATCAGTTCAATATGGAGATGAAGGCCTGGCTGAAGCCTGAAGAAGAGGACATGATTGTTTTGTACTGCCACAATCTCACAAGCAGAGCATTCCTACTGAACCACAAGACACTCAAGATTCATGTTGATGCAATCCTACAAGCTCGGCTCAAGGATGATTTCCCTGAGAGTGGAGTAGGGATTAACTGGACAAACCGCTTCATTGAAAGGCATTCTTCTCATCTTGGTCAGTACTGGAGCAGCTCTCTTGAAAGTGCTTGAGGACGTGCTGTAAATGAGACTACCAATTGAGAGTGGTACAAGCTGCTCGGCAACACAATCAAGGAGCATAATATTGAGGAGACTGCATGTGGGCATCTGATGAAAGTGGTTTCCCACCAGGAATGGGGTTCAAAGAAAGGGTCATTGGACCTGCAAAGCAGAAGACTCAGCACCTGCCATGAGATGGCAATCGAGAAAACATTACTGTCATGGTGACCATATGTGCTGATGGCACTAATATTCCTCCAACTGTGATCTACAAAGGGAAATCATTTTTGATGAGGTGGCATGATGAGAACACCCTGAGTGTATCATGAGTCATAAAAATCATTTGGAGACAAAAACCGACTTAAGAAATTCAGTATTGCTCATTCACCGAAGGTCTGGACCAATGGTGTCATTGGCTGTCTTTGGATCGAAGATTTTGACAAGAAGACAAGCAAGAAAGCAAATGGGCATGCATGCTTGTTACTCATCAACGGGCATAACTTCCACTACACAAAGGAGTTCCTTGATTATACTTACACACATAACATTCACGTACTTTGTTATCCATCACATTCCACTCATGTCTATCAAGGCCTTGATGTGGTTATCTTCGACCCACTGAAGCATTGCTGGACATAAGAGAGAGATCAGTTTGAAAGTTCAAAGAGGCAAAAGGTCACAACAGTGAACTTTATCTCAATATATTCGAGAGCCCACAAAAAGGCACTGATGCCAGAGAATATCAAAGCAGCATTTTGCAAAACAGGTGCATGGCCATTCAATCCTGATGTAGTCACAAAGGAAATAATGGCGCCAAGCTTGGAGACATCATCCAAGGGTTGCTTGCCTTTGCTGCAGACTAGTCCTGTAAAAGTGCTCACAAATACCATTCAATGATACCAGAAGGAGCGCTACTTGGTCGACCCATTTGTTGAGACACCATCAGAAAACAGTCCAGGCCCTGCGACAGGTTCATTTCACTCACCTGGCTGGCTGATGGGTGTTGCGGAGCAGGTCATCAAGGGATTGGCATCAACCTCTGCAGCATTTCTCATTTCAAGTTCCCCAGTACAATCCACCCACAGTCTCCCCACATTCATCCTGATACCTATTACACTAACACGCAAACAAAACCATGACCTGCTAAAGACAGAACCAGAATCAGCCAAGGAGAAATTGTATTAGGATGCCCTTCATGGTGCTTATGATCATGAAACTCACTACAAGAGTTCACTGGTTGGCATGCAGTCTGCCATAGTTCTGCAATCCATGTTCTGTGATCGGCTCTCTAGTCAGCTTACAGCACAAGAGGAGAAAAAAAAGAACAGTAAAAAAGGTGGTCAACTGGTTGGGGATGGGCTTCCAAAATTGCTTACTGGTGATGAATTTCACCACTGTGTGGTTGAACATCAAAGAGCTGCTGAGGAAGAGGAAGCAGGATGTGAAGCTCACTGAATGGAGAGAGAAGGGAGGACAGAATTATTAAAATTGTGGAAAGAAGTGGAAGCTGCATGGCTGGTGAGAAATGAAGCATGCAGAACAGCATACAGAGATCAAGTGAAGATGTGGGAGGCAGAAAGAGATCGAGCAAAGTTGGAAAGTCAGAGACCAGCATGGAACAAGCCAAAACTTGGGAAACTGGAAGCACTGCTGCCAAGGCTAACACTGAATGATCCAAAGGCATCTGAGGAGGGTCAACAAGACAGCAGTCATGGTGGTGAGGAAGACGCTGATGAGAATGATGGCGATGAGTCTGATGGTGGGAGTGAATAGTTGGTCATTAACATTACTGATTGTAAAGATAACACTAATCTCTTTGATTTACTTCTTTTGGTGCTGGCTCAAGTGACCATGAACCAGTGATAAAGACTGAAAACATTGATGCATTCACAACATATTCATACATCAATCAATGGACTCAATAATTTATTTTATATATATCTTATAAGTTTGTATCAGACAGATCTGGATGATACCTCTTTGTTGTGCAACAGGAGGCTGACAAAGTTTTGCTGGCTCAAGTGCTCATTTAAGACTGTAGTACATCATGTATGCAAGCTTATATGAGATTTGTTAATATTTCTGAGGTGGGGAGCATTGAAGATGGCTTGCATTTATACCCTGAAAATTGTGTTGTGGGCAGGACTTCACATGGCAAGAATCTACATAGGCAGAACCTATTAGCTAGTGGAATTTGAGGGTCAGCAAAATTCAAATGAACAAACCATAAAGTAAATACAGCCTGTGTTGACAGAGTAGTGATGGAAAAGTTCGGTTCAAGGTTTGGGGTATGGGTTGAACCAAACCCATGGTCTGGTTCTACATTCAACTTTCCCTGAACCTTTTTAAATGTGTTCGAATGCCAAATGCAAACACTACTTAGTGCTGGAGTTTTGTGTGTATCTGCCTATTCGCTTAGTTTGGTATGTCCTCACATCTCTTCTGCAACTGTCTCTTTTCATCCCAGCTAACTTCCAACTTAGGCTTGCCTTCTGTTGTGCTCTGGCAGAGTGGGTGCACCTTCCAATTTTCAGCCAGTTCCTTCCATTCACAGTACCATCACAGATGGTCTTTGTCAGAACCATGCCTAATCACAAGTTCCTGTAGGGTTGATGCATTAAGTCTGCTAGTTGCACATCAGGAAAATCACAGATGTCTTAACTGGACTTTTTTGACTTTTTCAGGGGCCTTAAGGAAAAAAAGAGCAAGAGCACCACAAGATGCACTAAGGCCACACCTCTTCTTGTAGTGACTTAAGCACAATTGAATTGACATATTACATATGATTTAAGGCATGAAAACTCGACAAAGTCCATTGCAAGTCATGTCATAAAATCACTAAAAAGCACACAAAAGGGTAATTAAGTCACAAAATGAGCAAGACACACAAAGTGTTAATAGCATTAAAGGGTGACTAAGGAGTGTTAAGAGGTTATAAAAGACAAGAAAAACAGGATAAAATGCATTATAAGGAGAGTGAAGAATGGCAAAAAAAAATGGTTCCAAACAGTGAAAATTGCAGGGGGAGGGCACAAAACAATGAATTGAAGTCACATCAAGGAGATCTCAACCGGAGGTGTGAGGCTCACATATCTGTAGATAGTACAAATGTAGTTAAAACCTGGGGATGGCGAAAGACACTATAACTTACCAAAGTCTGCATGATCATTATCGTCATCCTTGAATGAGCCATTGCTGGAGCAAAACAGCCAAAACTTGGGGTTATGGTGAATTTTGTTCAGAATGGACACATCTGGCAATTGAACGTATTTCATATAGAAGGGGGTGGTTGAGAAGATAATAAGCATTTTGTGAAAATAGCTACATAGAACATACAATGAGACATCATGTTATGATACAAACTATTAGCGTACACTCACCAAGAAATCATATCATTTGAGCATTGAAATCTTTCACCAATTTGCCTGGTAGACAAGCCTGTGACAGCAGGTATATAGAAAAATTGCAAGTTGTTCTTCTAGTGAAATAAACTTGGAATTGGTGTGTCCAAGGGTACAAATTTCAGAGATAAGCTCTGCAAAAACATGTGCATGTACACCAAGTTCACATTGGATTTGTTCTGGGTGACCAGACAGTAATTCCATGACCCAGGCTTTGCCCAAGAGAGCAGAGGTACAATATGGCTCTGGATCCTTTGAATACATAAATTGTAAAACATTGCCTGTGGTGCTGATTAAGATACTTATTAGAAGGATCACATATGTCATATACTGTACCTCTGGACCTGGAAGTCCAGATTCTCCCCTATGAAAGTCTGGATTTCTGTCCTGTTCTCTGTCCAGCACTCCGATTTCATCTCCATACTCACACCTATCTCCTTTTAGATTACTGCTCTCTGGCTACTGGTCGTACATCTTTCTGCCTTGCTTACAGATCTGTCCGTCTGCATTTCATTTCCAACTTCATTTCTTTGATCCATTGTATACTTACTAATAGACTTTCCATATGCTTTGGGCATAGCTTTTCACTTTGCTGACTGATTACTTACTTGACATCTACAGTATATAAACTCCTGTAAAACTCCATACCTCCTCAGTCCAAATATCATCTTAGTTCCTGCTCATTCCTGTTCCTCCGGACTTGAGTCTGACCTCTTGTCCACCTCCAAGTCTTGGGTTTATTCCTTAAGACTATATCTCCAGCTCTACCTTAGGGTAGTCTATCTCTGTTCTGTTTCTACTCCAGACTTGTCTGAAGTAGCCTTACTCTATTCACTCCAAGTCTTCCAGAGTTCCACCGAACTCCCCCTCTGTCTGACCTCCAGACTTACCTGGATTTCTGTCAGACTTCCCTTCTGCCCCTCAGAAATTAAGGGCACATACTCAGGCAAGGGGTGCAGCACACAAGCTGAAGCCAAGCCCTTTGAGTTACTCTTCCCTTGAGCATGATCTTAATAGCATATTGGATGAGGTGGCAACAAGCTTCTGGGCATTTGGGCACAAAATGCAGGACCTCTGATTGACAATCTGTTGCAGCAGGGACCACCATAGATGATCAATTCAAGGACAAAGTATGATATCCCACATAGATAACAGCATGTGTACCCTAGTCTAGGGTTCAACTATACCATTTAAGCTCCAACCTTCAGTGAAATTCAAGCCAAGAACCTCTCACACAACATTTGTCAAATTTTGGGCAACAGCTGAACTTTCTTTTAAGTGTTGTCAGTTATCATTGATTATATAATATGTTCGTTCAAGTACAAAATGGGTAGTGGTATTTAGGCAAGGGGGGTCATAGGTGTAGGCAGTGGGCATGGGTGCCTAACTTTGAACATCTCTATTGTGATGGATTACAGCTGTTGTCTACATTAGGGGAGCTCAAAGTTGAATGCCTAATGCCCAACCTCATGACTGAAATTCAGAATACCTAGAATAAATAGAAGTAAATACAAAGTAAACCCTAATGTCACATCATTGCCCTGCACAGTGTCAATGAGGCAGTGAAAGGTAATGCTCCTATGACCTGTGACTCAGTTCTGCTTCTTTACCTCATCTCCCCACTGTGTGGACCATGGCACAATGGTTGAAGAAATCAGCAGGACCACCCATTGGCGAGACAGAGTGGACCACAGCACTCATCTGGCTGCTCCTTGCTCAGGCTGAGAAAACAGAGAATAGGAAGACACTTCTCAGGGGGAAAAGGGACAAAGTAAGCTTATTTCTACTTCATTTTGTCAGTACTGCTGCTGAAATACCACCAGAATACATTGAAGGATATGAAAATTGTGATCTTCAAGCGCATTGGATCTGTGATCCTTGCAGACCTGCATGCCATCAACCCCGATGCAGTTGGCAACCACATAAAAAAACAGTTCAACTAGTATGTGACTGGCATGAATTTTTCATGTCTCTGCTAACTTATCTATCTGCTAATAGCCTCGTCAATCATTACAAGCATCATGCACACCAGCTCAGAGCTACAGGTGAGGGTCTTCAAGATGACAATTCAGGAGATGAACGTGACGAGGAGCACTTCAATCACTATGTCCCCTTGTCTGGTCTGGATGACTCGACTCCAATGCATATCAAGAGCATATGGGGTAAGTAATATTTGCAATTTGTGTCCTATACTGAGTATCCCATGTGGATGAGATTGTTTTGAAGTTCCCATTCTTCCCTGAGCTGCATTACATGTTATCTATGCGTCCCAATGTCACATCTATCATAATTATGACAGGTGTTGGCCTTGCAGGCAAAAGACAGTGCACTACCAGGCACCAAGTGAGGACAAGGACAAGGGACATCATACCTCACCAGAGTTCTCTGTGATGCAGCTACAGCAGTTCTGGGCACTACAGGAAGCTCTTGATGCTACACAATCTGCTACTCCTTTGACTTATCCAAACTCTTTTCCAGACTCTTTGTCTGACTCTTTCCCTTCAGGTTTCAAACTTGACTCTGACAAGGAGAATCATCTGCCACTTCCAACTCCAACTCCAAACCAGGTACCATCAAAGTCCCAGCCAGCATCTCCTCCCCCCTCAACTTGCACTTCAAAGTCCTTACTTTCTCATGATGCAATTGAAAAGACAAAGCAGTGTATCTCCAAGCTTCCGAAAAAGCGGACCTTTGAGGATGTGTTGGAGAACCTTCAGCAGTAAGCAAATATTTTTAAATTGTTGCTCAAGTCTGAGCCAACATCAAGAACATCAATGACCACGCATGAGACAAGATTAATCTTAAGAAAAGGCAACTTCTCCTGGAGGAATTTAAGGCTGGAATTTGGGAGATTGAGGAATATTGGAGGAAGCTTAAAGAGCCAGACAAGGACAAAGCTGGTGTGGTGGAAATACCCTCTAGAAAGAGGGTTTGATATTCTCCTGACTGGGATGAGATCACGCTCGAGTAAAACACATTTATTTGTTCTCTTCTTACACTCCTTTGAGAATTTTTTCGCTTAACATTACCACCCTTCCTTCCACTATGTGACACATTTTAATTACACTCCTTCAAACCTTTACACTCCTTTGAGAATTTGTTTGCTTAACATTACCACCCTACATGATACATTTAATGTCCTTACTGCATGTCTCTGAATGCAATCAGTTCTTTAACCAACACCCTGCACTTCTGCTCACCTCCATCTTCATCATTTCCTTCCATTGCTAAATCTGTAAGTCCTCCACATAGCTCCCTCAATAACAATATTGTGAAGAATTATTGCAATTGTCATCCATTGGCAAGCCTCTTTGTGTTGATGCTTTGAGTTAATGATAGTCCTCAATCTACATAGACATTGCCATCTCCCCTGTAGGGCACCCATGAAATGTTCAGAATGTACACAAAGGTGTGAAACCAGGTGATTGAAGGTGGTGTTCTCAGGGTGAAGGAAAGCTGGTCATTTATGTACAGGAATTGAGTGCAAAATGACTGGATAAGCAGAGTCCATCCAGGCAAACTCAACACAATCAAAAAACCAGTCAGAGTGTTTGACTGCAGCAGTGTGCTCAAATGCTGAAGCATCATGAGCAGACCCAGTCAATCCATGGGCATAATCAACAATTCCAAAATTAGATGGCAGGTTTCCAACCTATACATTAAATCAGAATGGTGATTATTGGGAAAAAAATCAATTACCTGAAGATTGAGCCCATAATTTGATTTACAAGTGAAATTGGATGAAAAACAGAAGCATCATAGAGTGATTCAATTGCATCAAAACAACATCTTGTGTAGAGCTCAACAGTACCTTCAGAAATGCCTGTGAAATGGGCAATATCCTCAATGGAAGCACCATTCCCATATCGACCCATCCTGTATAGCATGACTGCAAGCTGTATCTGAACTGGTGCCTGGGCATTGTTTGAGTTGTTATAGAAGACAGGATGATCCTTAATTAAATCAAGGATGACCTGAAAAACTTCAGGTGAAACATGGAGCATATTTATGAAGCATAAGTGATGTGCCAGATTTTGTGCATATTCCCATGCAAGGTGAAGCGAGCCAGCTTTGAGTATCAGGGGTCTTTCTCGGAGATAAGAAAAGTGTTGTATAGCAAGAATGCAAGAGATATCAAGGTCAAATTCATGTGCAGCCGCTTCTGGGGTCCATGGTGGCTGAAGGATTCTTCACAACATCATATACAGGATGTAGTTTTGTAGATATTGGTAGTGTAGACTTGTACAAGCCATGGCTGTAGCATATTGATCACCTTCAGTGACACTGTGCAGGGCAATGATTAATAACATTATGGTTTACTTAGGGTTTACTTTGTATTTACTTCTATTTATTCTAGGTATTCTGAATTTTGGTCATAAGGTTGGGTGTTGGGCTTGGGCATTGGGTGTTCAACTTTGAGCTCCCCTATTATATAGTCAATATATGGGTTTATGTTACATCTTGAATTTCAGTGATGACCTTGTCACTCTCTGTCTCTATCCATTCATCTTCCTCCATGTTCCTCTTTCAGCCATTTGCAGAACACTAGGCCAAAAAAAAATTACTACATATATTTGGCAATAAGTTGGGACAACAAACTTTTAACTTCTGATGGACAATCTCAATCTACAACTCAGATAGGACAATACATATCACCTGTAGTTCCCATGTAACCACCCTAATTAGACTTGATAGCTGGGCCTGATGGCAGGTCTAAATTGACTGGCTTTCAGTTGTACACACCCAAATAAATAATTATTCAGTATAGTGGGGCCTTGGGGGCTGATGTAGGGCTTCTCAGTAGTGTAGGGGTGTAGGGGTGGTGTAGGGTGTGTGCCTAGGAACTATAATTATACACTTCTGACTATTATTGGTGCTACCGCCGGCAATGACCGCCACATCACTGCTGAACCTTTGTACTCGCTGTGCAAGACAGCGAGCTCATGTATCTTACTAATGGAGGATGGATTTGAGGTGGATTTTTTATATATAGGTAGCAAATGATAACTGACATTATTATTATGTAGAATAAGAAGCTTCTGGGTGCTAAAACACTACAAAGAATAGCAACTAAGTTTTGTCCTCACTGGTGTCCTCCTCTTCAGATGTCTCAACAAACTCTGCACTCTTTGGGGCCTCTGCAGATGGCCCAGACCCTTGTGCTCGCTTGCTTGGGTGTCCATTCTCCTTTCCCTTACATTTATGGGGTACCCTAGCATCAGATCATTTCTTGTGTGCCTTGCCAACTACCTCTCCTTTCTTGTGGCATGCAGCAAGATGGGTGCTATATTCCTCCCATTGATGCAGGGACATGTGGAACTAGTGGCAGGAGCCATTCTTCAGTCCATCATGGAGCTTCAGAAGGGTGTTGTGATCATTGATGCTGGTGGGGGATTGAAATGGAATGTCCTCAGGCCACCCCCTTATGTCAACCCCAAGCTTCTCTTTCATAGTGATACCAAAGTTTGCGTAGTTGATGCATATGTCACATCTCTTAACAATAGCTCCTAAAAACATGGTAGTTAGTATTGCTTCTAGTAGGATATAGGCAAAAAAATGTACTCAGCCCTGAATTAAGCAGGCGGGTGCAAACCCAATGCATGATCTGCATTGTCTCATGTTTGTCGATGCCTGGAATAGGAGAGGTTGTATATGACCAGGTGGGAGAACAAGAAGGAACATTGTCATATACCTGATTCGACTGCTCTAATATCAATATCCACTCCACTTTCTGATCACCTCCGCTCCATTCATCTTCCGCTTTGTCCAATCACAAGTTTGCATTCCACCCCTACGCTTCCGCTCAACTGCTCAACCGGTCCCCTTCCATAACCTCTCCATTCAACTGGAGCTCTTTCCCCTTTTAGATATATGCCTTCCCTATTGGTACATAGACCCTTACTTCTGGATCACCAGTAATTCCTATTACCACCTGATCACTGATCCAACGCGTACATATTGATATCCACTCCGACTTATGTCTTCGCCTGTGTAATGTACTTACAAACTATATCCTTGGTACATAGCTTTACAACATAGTTATCCTGATCACTGCCTCATACATAGAAGTATATAACATATCATGTACTTAGATATTTTCCTCAGTCTTAATATTACTTGTCTTCTCGCAGTTACCTCTTGTGAGAATTCTCAGTAGGACCTTGCCTCCTCTGGACACAAGTCTCAACTTGTTGTCACCTCTGACCCTCCGACCCTCCGCTCCGACTTAGAGCCGTGCTCTAAGTCTTCTCCTTAATTCTCCGCCCCTTACAATATTCCCTCTGACCCTTTTCCATCCTCCGCCTTCCCCCTACTCCTATCCACCCTCCGCATCACTCCCCGCCTTCTCCGCTCCGCTCCTAGTCGGCCCGCTGCTAGTAGCTCTTACTTCCCGACCCTCAAAGCAGACCAAAGCAGTCCACTCGTCCTATTGTCAGACAACATCAGACCCACTTCAAATTCGGGACACATACTCAGCTAAGGGTGCAGCACAAGAGCTGAAGCCAAGCCCTGACCCCTCTGTCTCTTGAGCCAGCATGGTACCTAACAAACATACTATGACCTGACACGCATGCCCACTGCTCCAGATTTCTTGTGATTTCATTGGCCTCCATTTGCAGGACATCCTCCCAGAAGTCCATGATGTTGTCTGTTCCAAACCATGTTGCATGGGTGGTGTTGTTTACATGTCCACATGAGGCAAAGAGACACACATAAATTCGAGTTCACACTGCAAGACCATCAAGCTACATATAAATTCATTAATGGGGAGTGAGACATATTATCATAGGCAACATACCATCTTGAAGACATCGTCCAATGTTGACTGAACATCATGCGCAGCAGCAGTGTTGGTAGCATAAACACTTATATTCTATAGAGCACAGTGCTTGTGCAGTTTGTCAATATATTCCTGCTGTTCCTTGGGGGTCAGATTTTGCATCACCTTGTCTGCTTTTACTAGGTCTCAGATCTCATCAAGTGAATATTTCACCCTGCAAGGTTGATCTATCATTTCAATCAGCAGGATGATACATTAAATGATGTCGCATGAAATGGACTGACCTGCATTTATTTCCTATGCCTTTGCATATATAAGAGCATTGGCCAGTTGCACATTCCAATTCCCTTTGTAATGATTTCCACCTCTCATGAGCTTTTTCACCTTCTCTTGAGAAACATTGTGTTTGAGTGCAATGGCATCGATCTTCTCAGTTTCCTCTGTGAGTAGCCATTGAATTGTGGTGGTGAGCACTGCTTCAGACTCCTTGCATTGTTCAGTGGAGAGCTTGCAGGACACTTTCTGTGCATTCACTTGAGCCTTCTGTGCTGCATTAAGTAGAACACAAGGGGTCAATGCAGGGTGGTTCAAATTTCTTGCAGCCCAGGATGAGTTGTTCACATTGGTGGTGATCTCTGTGATCTCTGTGTGTAAGGTATGTTGAATTGCCTCATGGTTGGGTGGATTTACAGTCTCCTGACTTGTTGTAGCAGGAAGATTTGCAGCCATGCAGGGGGACACATTTGACTGTGTTGTTTGGAGGGGAAGCAGGCAATAGGGTACCTGTGTCATATCCCATATATCTGGACCCAGAACTCCGTGTTCTCCCTTGTAAAAGCCTAGACTTCTGCCCTGCTTTCCATCCAGCACTTCAATTTCATCTCCGGATTCACACCTATCTCCTTTTAGATTACTGCCCTCCGGCTACTGGTCATACACTTTTCCCCCTTGCTTACTGATCCGTCTTTCTGCATTTCATTTCCAACTTCATTTCTTTGATCCATTGTATACTTACTAATAGACTTTCCATATGCTTCAGACATAGCTTTCACTATGCTGACTGATTACTTACTTGATATCTACAGTATATAAACTCCTGTAAAACTCCATACCTCCTCAGTTTGAATATCATCTTAGTTCCTGCTCATTCCTGTTTCTCTGGACTTGAGTCTGACCTCTTATCCACCTCCGAGTCTTCAGGTTTATTCCTTAAGACTATATCTCCAGCTCTACCTTAGGGTAGTCTACCTCCATTCTGTTTCTACTCCAGACTTGTCCATAGTAGTCTTACTCTAGTTATTCCTAATCCTCTGGAGTTCTGCCAAGCTCCCCCTGCATCTGACCTCTGGACTTACCCAGACTTCTGTCAGACTTTCCTCCTACCTCTCAGAAATTAAGGGCACATACTCAGATAAGGGGTGCAGCGCACAAGCTGAAGCCAAGCTCTTTGAGTTATCCTCCTCTTGAGCACAACCTTAACAGTCTGGTTGCATGCTAAGATGGTTGTCTAGCAGGTCAGACAGAGGTGAGAGTAATGCATATAGCACAGGATTGTTCCAGTCAATAGTACAGTCAAACAGTCCATTGTAGCTCACATTCTCATTGAAAGGCTGCAGACTTAGCATACTCAAATATGGAAAAGACAGTGGGTCTGACAAATGTTTGACCATCAGCAAAGGCCTAAAACCAGGAGAGTCACTTACCTGGCAGTGTGCCATTCCATTTGGGGTTGGAATCACTTGTGAACACAAAATCCACATTGTACATGGTGCAGAGGCAAAGCATGAATTTTCTGGGAGGAATTGTCACAGGATGTTAGTTGAGTCACTCAGATGTGCATAAAAAAGTAAAATCATAACAAATTTATTGTCAAGTCATCGAGACTTGAACACAATATCAAGGAAATCATCAAATATAATATATGCTTACCTTGATTGCATTGTGAAGATATTGAAGTCATGTGCATGCAAATGGCAAAACCATGTCGGAATGCATGGTGCCATTCAAGTACAATAGGACCTGAGTTGCAACTAGTAGTAGAACACTGTTATGACTAGCATTCACTGAATGGCAAAGACTAACACACCACCACCAGGACTCAGTCACAGTTGATGATGATAACAAGATAGGATTGAGTGTGAACATCTAAGTCTACTACAAGTGTAGAAATGAAGAGGTTAAGTCTAAGGAGTACTTATGCTAACTAACCTACTTATATACATAACATTGAATAGGAGATATCTGAGTATGAAAGAAATCAGCCAATGAGAAAAGAGTCATACAATACTGTGGATGACTGAGCATGACATCATGATATATAAGTGATGAGTCAGATGGTGACTAAATAGAAACCCAAGATCCAACTGGTTCTTCTTCTGGAAGCGAGATTGTTCTAGCCTGTGGAGTAGGGGAGCCAATCGGAGAAACAACGGGTGATATGTGAAGAGGTGAAGTTGTGACAGGAAGTGAAGTCACGTGACTGGTTCGGTAACTGGAAGTAGCTGAAGGAAAACTGAGAAATGAAAAATGATTCATATTTGGGATTTATGACATTACCCCCTTTCTAGGATGAGCATTCTCGCAAATATATATGGCTGGATATTTTTCTGTCACCACTCTAGGAAACTGGGTGTCTGTAGAATTGGAATGATAGAACTAGCGATGTGGTGTGATTTTGGAGCATCAGGATGTGTGGTGTAAAACTTGCTGACTAATCTGGGGGAGTTCTTCAGATTTTCCTCATTTTCCCATGTCACTTCTTCCAATGGATACCCTTTCCATTTTACTTTGTATTGTAGCTGCCTTCACCATATTCTGCTGGATATTACTTTTTCTACTTGATATTCTTCTTCAGATTGGACAATATCTGGGGGTGGACATGTTGGAGCAACTCAAGGCGTTAGTGCGGAGGTTTTGTGCGGTGTGAGTAATCCCACATGAAACACCAGATGGATCTGATGTGATTGTGGTAATTTGATCCAGTTGTCATATACCTGATCCGACCGCTCTGATATTGATATCCGCTCCGCTTTCCGACCCCTCCGCCCCATTTATCCTCCGCTCCGTCCTATCACAAGTCCACATTCCGCCCTACGCTTCTGCTCAACCGCTCAACCGGTCCCCTTCCATAACCTCTCCATTCAACTGGAGCTCTTTCCCCTTTTAGATATATGCCTTCCCTATTGGTACATAGGCCCTTACTTCTGGATCACCAGTAATTCCTATTACTGCTTGATCGCTGATCCGACGCGTACATACTGATATCTGCCCCGACTTATGTCTTCGCCTATGTAAAATACTTACAAACTATATCCTTGGTACATAGCTTTACAACATAGTTATCCTGATCACTGCCTCATACATAGAAGTATATAACATATCATGTACTTAGATATTTTTCCTCAGTCTTAATATTACTTGTCTTCTCGCAGTTATATCCTGTGAGAATTCTCAGTAGAACCTTGCCTCCTCTGGACACAAGTCTCAACTTGTTGTCACCTCTGACCCTCCAACCCTCCGCCCCGACTTAGAGCCATGCTCTAAGTCTTCCCCTTATTACCCCGCCCCTATCAAATATCCTCCTTCGCCCCCCTGCATTATCCTCTGCCTTTCCCGCCCCTACCAACATTCCCCTGCTCCTATCCCCTCTCCACATCACTCCCCACCTTCTCTGCTCCACTCCTAGTCGGCCCACCACTAGTAGCTCTTACTCCCCGACCCTCAGAGTGGACCAAAGCGGTCCAATCATCCTACCGTCGGACAACGTTGAACCCGCTCCAAATTTGGGGCACGTACTCAGCTAAGGGCGCAGCGCAAGAGCTGAAGCCAAGCCCCGACCCCTCTGCTTCCTGAGTCGGCACGGTATCTAACACCAGTAGTTTAACTCACCAATTCACTTGATTATTTCAAAGGGGCCAAGACAGCAATCTGACAACTTCTGGCTTGGGCACCGTTGTTTAATATTCCTTGTGTCTAACCAGACCTTCTGTCCAACTTCCAAAATAGGTGCGTCCTTTACTCCATGATCATAGAAACGCTTCATCCGATCATTTGCTATTTCTAGCATCGCCTTTGCTTCTTTCTGTGCTTCTTTCATTTCAGCCACTCTCTCATCAGCTTGAGGAACAGTATTAGAGGATTTAGGAGAAATGTTGAATTTGGGGTTATAGCTGTAGAGGGTTTTGAAAGGGGAATGTCCAGTCATTGTAATGGAGTTATTGTGTGTAAATTCTGCAATGGGAAGCCATGATACTCAGTCATTTTGACAGTAAGATGTGAAGAGCTGAAGAATTTGTTCTACTTCTTGGTTGACTCGTTCAGTTTGTCCGTCAGTTTGAGGGTGATACACTGTTGACATGGACCACTTGGTTCCTAGTCTTTTCAAGACTTCCTGCATAAACTTTGACACAAACTGTGTTCCTCTATCTGAAATCACCTTCTTTGGTGTTCCATGCAACTTCCATACATGTTTGAGAAATAAGTCCACAACTCCTTTGGAATTAATGCCCTTGGTGGTAGGAGCAAGATGTGCCTGCTTCATGAAGCGATCAACAACTACTAAGATACTATCTTTGCCTTGGGAGATGGGTAGATGAGTGATAAGGTCACAGCTAATGGTCTGCCATGGACCTTTGGGAATTTTATTCGGCTTTAAGGGTCTGTGGAGTTTAGATGGCAACACCTTTGTTTGCTTGCATTGATTGCATCCATCTATGTAATTATTGACCCACTTTTGCATCTGAGGCCACCAATAGTTCTGTGAAACAAGTTCAAGAGTTTTGGCACATTCCATGTGTCCTGCTGCAGGAGAGTCATGGAAAATCTCTAGCACTGAGCGATGTATTTCCTTGTTGTTGGGAACATAAACCAATCCTCTGAATAGAACAAGTCCATCCTCTGTATTCCACTCTTCTTGTCCTCTTCTCAACTGTATGGGGGCCTTCTTCAGGGTTTTGATAGCATTTCAGACTTCCAGATCTAAATCAGTGCAGTTTCTGATATGTTTCAATAGCGACTGTTCCCCTTATATCAGAACCTGGCCTCTTTTTGCAGCTTTAATGTGGAAAACTCGGGTTTTAAAAACATGCGATCAGAATTGTCATTTTCTACCCCCCCTCTGTGGTCTGGCCTCCTGGACAGAGCATCAGCAGTGTCATTAACCTTCCCCGGTTTGTGTTGCAGTGTAAGTTGTATTCTGCAAGGAATAAGGACCATCTCGCTTGTCTGCGAGTTAACTTCTGACTTGTCATGAAGTATTTGAGGTTCTTGTGGTCCGTCCAAATCTCCACCGGATGAGGTGTGCCCTGCACAAAATGCCTCCACTCTTCTAATGCACGGATGATAGCTAAAAGTTCTTTGTCGTGGATATTGTAGTTCCTCTCTGCATCTTGCATTGATTTACTAAAAAAAACCACTGGGTGCCATAGTCCATCTTCTTCCAGCTGTGAAAGTACACCACCAGTAGCATAGTCAGATGTGTTGCTTTCTATTTTTTGTTTCTTTTTTGCATCTGGCATAACTAGCACTGGTGCAGAAGTGAAATTGTCTTTAAGGGTTTTGAAGGCCTTTTCTTGCTCATGGGTCTGGCCATATTCGAGAATCTGAGAATGAATTGATGATAAAAGTTTGCAAATCCCATGAATCATTGAATGTCCTTGACACAGGTAGGAGTGGGCCATTCCTGAACTCCTTTAACCTTAACCGGATCCAGGGGATATGCTTTTGTGTTT